ACAACTTCCTTGGGCAACCTGTTCCAGTGTCTGACCACCCTCACAGTGAAGAACTTCTTCCTAATATCTAATCTAAACCTGCCCTCTTTCAGTTTAAACCCATTTCCCCTTGTTTTGTCATTAACTGCCCTTATGAAAACTCCTTCCCCAAGTTTTGCATGCTTCTTATCATTTTGCCCTAAAATTCAGTATCCAATTTGGAAAAGTGTTTCCTAGTTGCAAGGCTTAGCCATTTTGAAATCAAATACAATTACAACTTGTAAGGAAAAGTAGAGCCTCTGTAAATTATGTTTTAGATTAGCTTAAACTGTTGCTCTGTATTTTTTGGTTCAAGTATGCTTATTCCTTGCTACTTTTTAATTCTGCTACTTAACTCAACCTTTTACTTTAAGCTTTTGAATTTATACATGGAATTACTTGAAAAAGATTAGTGGTTAATTCTAATAATCCTTGTATTGTTGTATTTTTTTTTTAATAAAAAAGGCAGGAAAACTAAGTGGTCAATTACTAGAAGACAAAAGCAGTGATGAGAATAAGCTAACTGGTACACCAAAATACTTTGTATGCTCTCTGAATGGATAAGGATCCCAAGCAAATGACCACACATGACCAAGACACCAATTTCTGCACAAGTATGGGCAGGAGGGGGGAAAAAAATCGCAACATACAAGTTATAAAGGATAACAATGAGCAATTTTGGACAATTTATGTTTTGGTGTGAATGCAGTTTGAAAACTCAGCTTAACAGCCTTATCATGCAAAACACCATAATAACTGGTGAAAGTCTGTCATCCCCCCTTCCTTCTTACCATAAATTTAAGACAGCACAAAAGGAAAGAAGATGCTTGAGACTTCTGCAGACCAATGTAAGTAATATGATGTAACTACATCTATCAGAGGAAGATAAAACCGGGAAAGAGGGCTATGAATTTGGTGAAATGCTTTGAAGTACCCTTGAGATGTAGAAGGGCAGCCCTCTGGGTCACTAGCCTGCAAGGTGAAGTCTTCCAGCATCTCCTCTCTGTAAGCTCTTTCCACAACATCATCCTCTTCCCGAGTACATTGCTCTTTATGATCTCTATCAGCTCCAAAATGCAAAGCCAACTTCTGCCTGCATGGCTAGGGGTCATCACACTCCCCTCCCTCTCTCCTGGCTGGCATCTGGTGGATGATACTAGATAACAATACGAATCAACACAGGAATGAAACTCAAACTTCCAAGATAGTTTATCTCTACATACAATGGAGGTATTTTAACTCTTGGCTTTCCAGGAGGTCATTTCAAGATCTTTCATGTTCCTTTTACAGTTGTATGATACAGTCTGTATCCCAAACTGAAAGCACCTGGATTTTGGAGAATACAAAGGACCTCTTTGCTAAGTTGGAAAGTGAAGTTTTACTTACTTATATTCAAATTTACATCAAGATTCCAGACTATCAGGTAGCTGCCTGCAGACACCTTCTTTGGACACATTACTCTGGTTTTGCAAATACTTTTCATTTTAGTTCAAAGACACACAATACAAACAGAGACAGACGAGAAGTAGTGGAGAACTATTATGTCCATCCTTGCAAATTCCCATATCTCTGCCACAATGACCCATGTAAAAGTCACTTTGCTAGCTGGCTTTGCCTCACCATGTGCAGGTGTACTATGTTGCCAAGGAAGAGAGAGTTGAATAGAACCCCTGAGACAATACATCACAAATGCTTTTTCTTTTAATATACTATTTGTCAATTAAGAAGCAAAAAGATTGTATGAATTGACCCACAGTATGCAGGACTTACTTCCCTGGTGCTCTCTTTATGAACATAAATCCACTTTTCACGATAAAAACCTAAAATAAAAATCAAAATAAGCATTTTTAGGCTTCCACTGTAGGTAAGGCCTTCTAGAAAGAAACTGAAGAAAACAGATCATCCTCAATAAAATGCTCCACAAGATAGGAGAACAGTTTTAATGAAGGAAGATTATAAAGGCTGAAAAGGATGACTACAGATTTTCAGGTTATGTACTTTAAAAAGTTAAATAATTATATAAAGCAAACACAAGAGTTAGCACACAATTGGCAGAAGTAGCACAACTTTTGTTAACTGTGTACCAACAACAGTCAATTTCTCCTACAAAACCTGCTGATCCTTTTTTAATCCAACAGGCTCCTTAGCACGTAACACAGGAAAGTACAGAAATGAGCAACCTTTTGTTCTGAACATTCCACCCCTGTAATTATTTTCTTCTCTAACAGTGCCTGCTCTTCATCCACCTGGTTCAACTAGTTGCACTAGTTGCAACTAGTCAACTATACAAGACTAAAGGCAACTAGACAGGCCTTCAGTTTTCAGAGATCTGGTACGTTGTCAAATGAAAGCATGCTCTTACATATAGCCACTTGGATATTTTGAAATACTTTATGCCCAGACAAATCTTGGGAAGCTGAAGCTTTTTGCAAGACCATTTCTGATCATTTCAATATCAAAGCATTAGAAATGCCAAAGAGTTGCTTATCAACTTACCTTTTTTTACCTACTCTACCCTATCCTCTACTTCAGGAAGTTTACTTGATGTTATACACATATTTGCAGTTTGAACTACAGATCTTTTAAAAATGAGAATTGACAAAAATGGCTTGATATTTTCTTTTTTTTTTTTTAAGATACTATTGTAAAGAAATTCAATACTGGAAGTCTTTACCAAGAGCTATAGGTATTATGCAAAATATATTTATTTACAAACTGATTTTTGCATTGTAACACTAACCAGAATTTGAATTAAGCAAAAATAAAACAGCTGCTTTGGTTAGCAGAAGCTTCCATAAGCATCCAGAAGAATTTAATCTAAAACTAGTTCAGAAAACAAAACAGTGATTAGAATCAGAAGACATTTATTATTCAGGAATTACTATTCTTAAATGAATTACCTTTGGATATGTGAATATGTGAAAAATCACACAGCAGATGATCAATGCCACAGTTCAATCAAGATGTATCACTTCTGACACCAAAATTTGTGGCCAATACATAAGTAAACATAACTCATGTGGCTACCCTATAGATTAATATAAATGCATGGCTATTATAAAATGTTGCTGAACCTACAAGAGTCTTCTAAAATAAGTACAAAGAAACAGCCTTACACTGTGAATCTGTGTTAATCCTAAAATGATCTTTCTTCCTTTTCTTGGCAGCAAACTCACAATCTTCAGTAGTGTATATTTCTTCATCTTCATCATCACCAGTTAAGATGCTGAAATAAACACATCTAATTAGAACAGCAGTGATTAAATATTTAAGATGCATATAGTTTATAATTCTCTGCATTATAGTCTGCCAGCTGTAAAAAACCCAAATCATATTTTTAACGATGTTCCTCTGCCTGATGGTCTATAGCAACACACATCTTGAGAAGCTGTCTTGCTCTTTTCTTCCCAGTGTGGCTGAATTTTGAGTCAAAGTGATTAAATACACAAAAGTATCTTCCTAATAGGTACCTTGTAAGTCACTACTGACATTTAGGAAGGACTACTGAGGAGACAGCACTAGCTGGACATCTGGATGTCTGCAAAGCTCTTGTCTGCAAAAATTAATTATCTGAAATGCAGTAAGCCTTGAAAGACTGTGCACACAGGCAAAAGTCAGTGCAGAATTACCACACAACCTCACAGAGGCAGAAAGCCAGCAAAGACATCTCTCAACTGTCAACTTTCAGGCAAAGGAAGTCTTTTAATAAGCACCTGAATCACAGCACTGTACAGAATTTAGGTGTCACAATACTGTTTTACCAAGGATTTGTAGGTCATCAAGAACCATGTGGTCTACCCTGCCTCTCTCAGAGAGAATCAACTATACCTATGTCACTTCTGACAGTTAATTATTTAACCTAACACTGAAGACTATACTGAATAATTATATTTATATATAGCATGTATATGGATAGTGTGAGTACAGATATATATAGATAAAGAACTCACTAAAAAGGTTTGGTTGGATAAATTAACCTTCTAAAATTCATATACATTAAAAAATTGTCTGTGCCACATGAAGTCTACACAGCTTCATAAGCTTCTGCTTTCCATTTTTGCATATAACTTTAAAGAACACCAATACAGATAAGAATGGGTGTTCATTTTTCTAGCACAGAGAAGGAAGATACTTCATATGAAGGCCAGTCTGGCACAGATAAGCAGACTAACTAAGGATATGTGATACTAAAGCTTAACTGTAGGACTATTTTATTTCTCCATTATTCTTTGACAAGAAAGTTGTATACAACACCCTTCCCATTTGTTACTATTTTTTAATCTGAATTTGCCAGATGAATCTATCAATGTCAGTTTGAATTTCAAATTGCACCAGCAACAGCTGAAAACTAAGACTGAAGGACATCAGTTTATTAAAAAATAACCTGTGCTTGGGCATTAAGTTGCAAAAATAAAACTAATAATAGTTTATTGCTACTAGCTTATACAGTTTAAATTTTCAGGCTTGAACTATCTGTTAAGGAGGTTGACTAAACAACACTGTAAAAAAGTTTTGGTTTTTTAATTGCTCTGATCAGTAAATGGTAGCTCAGCTCAACGATACACAAGTTGAAGACTCAGAAGTAGAAAGTTGTTTTCATCTTAGGTTTAAATCCTAAAAAACCCTAACATGCCTCTGCACTCAGATAGAGATTGATCCAAGGCAAGAATCCGTTTTCATGTCTTACCATTTTTAAAGCAGAACACAAAGACTCAACAACTTCAATATTCTATGCAACATTGCCAAATATCATATCTGGTCAAACAGCAGAAGAGTTTGGAAGAAAGGAACTGGCAACCGACAAAAGCAGAACATCAACACCAACAAGTTCCTTCCATTACACGACATTCCAATCCATCAGGGTTTTTTTTCCAAAGCTATCATAAAGGAAAACTTTAAGCTCATTAAAATAATTAATTTAATTATGTTTTAGCATACTGACTGCATTGTGACAACATACAAGAAGGTACTGCAGAATCAGAAAAGCTGCTATAGAATCAGCAGCAGAGCCCAAAGCTCTAACATCCTAACAACATACAAGATCAGAGAGATATGGCCTGATACTCTGCAATATAATTCAGGCAGAACAGAAACGAGCTCATTCCCATTGACCCCATGCAATTGGAAGAGGAGAGGAGGCAGCATTCCCAAAGGTTTGCTTTAGAAGAGGAAGGTTAATCTGGCATGATTCCTTCTTTTGTTCCTGGAGAGGAAATGTCCCTAGAAAGCAATTTGGACCAGTAACATGCCTGAAATGCTTTAAAGCTATTCTTACTTTCTTGTCTTGATGATGCACTTCATAAAAAAAAATATTCTAAAGCTTCTAAAAGCAAAGTACCTGCTGTCCTTAGAGCTACAATACTCTACATAAAGCATGCAAGAATTTCAGCTTCCTAAAAAATGTAACTTCATAACAGTATTTAAATAACCTCTTAAAATGGGTATGATGCTTAAAATGCTGGAAAACTTGACAGGGCTATCTGAACTCCAACTACTCTTCCTCATCCCCCTGCTCCTCTTCTCATGGAGGAAGGAATGCCCTCACATCATGCAATCACCTACAGAGACACACTAACATGTTTTAGAAGAGACTGAAAGCCATTTACAGCTTGACCATGCATGGAAAATCCTGAGGTTAAGTGCCTGCATTAAATAATGTTATGCCAAAGTTATCTAAGACTAGATTCAAATCCAAGGACTTCCACCTCGTGCCAGAAACAGTTTCATGAACACCGTATCTCACTTACGGAATTAGACAAGAGACACTGTGGACTCCAGTGACCACCCTGTGGACTCCAGTGACTACCCTGCCAGCCCAAGTAGTTCATAGGAGCCTAACACACAAAAAAGGAATATCACCATCATGAAAATCTTATTAGTCCGATTACCTCAAAACGAAAGTATAAGGCAGCTTTACTCCTTAGTTGCAGGCTACTGAAAGGCATTTACATACAATTCTGTAAGGCAGTGTTGTTCTCTCCCCCACTGAGCTTCAAGGACACCGTGCCACAGCACTGGGAATGTGTCTCCCTGCTAGAACGTACAGGTGCAAATTGCTGGTAGTCATGGGCAGCATTCAGCCCCCAGAGCTTGAGTGAGCACTGCCTCAACCGCATTTCCAGCTCCTGCATACCTTGAATACAAGACACACTTCACTTATATAATAATACTAATTATCCAAATCAGCAGGAGCTACAGAACCAAGGGTCTCATTTTTTTTCCATCTCAGTTTCCATAAATGGAACTAATTTAAATTGCAACTCTTCAAGCATTATTCCAAATCACTTAAATTGTTCCTGCACAAGTAATTATGTTTGTTCAAGCATGATTATCATCCGGTCCGCTGTTTCTGACTAACTCATCAACTGGATTCACCAAGGCACTGGATAATTAATTGAATAAGGTAAAAAGTTCTGTTTTAATAAAAATGTATTATTCTTCAATTTATGTAAGTTACATGTCTCAAAGGTTTATTTCTGAATCTGTTTGTGAGTAAATCTTTCTAATTTCTGAAGAGAAAGTATTTGTAATTGATAAAAGACAAAATTTGGCAAGTAACTCTAGCCATACTTTTTCTCACAGAAGAGAATGTAAGCAATAGTAAAGAGGATTTCAGTCAACTACATAACTTGAATTTATTTCTTTTAAAGGAAAATTGCCCTAACTGCTCCCTGGAATAGAAAACTCAAGTACTACCTTCAGCATAGATTTCTACAGAATATTTTGGTGAAAAAAGTTAAATTAATTTAACAGGTGAACATAAATAAAACCCTGTTAGGATAGCCAGGCTGGCATACAGCATAATCCCTATTCATAGGGCAGTTTAAAAAGAGACAACTAAATACTTACGTATTGTTTACCATATGCTTCTTCCACAAGGAAGGAAGCATTTTATCAAGCATCATTCTTACTCCGTTCAACATGATGCTAACAGGTATCCTAAGCTGAGCTGCCTATTCAGGATACACAGATAATTGTTTCCAAATAGCTTAAGATGTTACAAAGCATCAGTCAGTAAGACACAATACACTGCTGTACTCCCACACGAAGCCCTGCATGTGGATAGCAGAGCCCCTGCCTGGGTATGTGCTGGGTACAGACGGGATAGGAAGCAGCTTTGCAGAGAGGGGGCCCCAGCTGAACACAGGTCAGCAGTGTGCCCTTCTGCTGGATAAAGCCAACCACACCCTGGGCTGAGCGTGACTGTACCCTGCAGACTGAAAGAAGCAACCATCCCCCTTTATTTGGCAGGAGAAACTGCATCTGGAGTACTGTGTCTGGTTTGGGGCTCCCCAATACAATAAAATCAGTGACATACTGGAACAAGTCCAGTGGGGAATTACCAAGGTCCTTAGGTACTAGAGAACATGATTCATGAGGGTAAGAGAACTGAGCTTGTTCAGTGCTAAGAGGTAGTGGTGGAGCAAAATCTCATTATTGTCAATATCTAAGGTAAGGGTACAAATAAAGTCATAGAATGGTTTGGGTTGGAAGGGACCTT